CCAACACGCACTATATGGATGCGAGGCTCGTATTTGTGTAAGGAATTTAACATTATCTGAAAAACAGCAGATTAGCACGAAGATGGTCGTTTCATGTGTCTTAATCATAATTTCTTTGCGTTTTATTTTGAGAAATAAGCATTTATGCGTAAAAAACATGGAAGATAACGTGGAAAGTCACGTTTTCTCTTAAAAAAAAAAACAAAGGATAATGCCCAACATTCTCGTCTTTCTTTCCTTACCTGACCTCCTCCGTTTAGTTTATTAGTGAGTTTGACTTTACTAAAAGAGACGGGTGATTTCATCCAGTGCGCACCAAAGTTTGGAGAGTCCGGATGGATATACACGCAGCTGGGAGTTTGAGGTTCAGGCTTGCCTCCGGGAACCCACTCTCCGTTCACATATTTCCACCTGTGATTGTCTGCAGATACAAAGTCCAGCAAAAAAGAATACATGGCGTTCGGGTCCAATCCAGACACGTTCATCTTCAGCACGGGAAACATACGCCTTGATGAAAAGAATAATGAACATTGTATTATTAGCTTTCATCTCTTTATAGACATCACAGACTGTTTGGGTTCAGATAATCTCACCTGCCATTCTTTGTAACTATCATTTCATTAGTAAGATCTTTAAATTTTTGCCAAAGCCCGCTCTCATCTAGGGAGACTTTCAGCTCCCTCTCCGTGGGGTCGCCCTTCTCGCTGCCGGCCTGCAACTCACTCTCCACCGCACTGAGGAGGTGATCCACCCCGTACTGACCGGCCTTCCCGGGGCACTCGTCGGCGCCTGTGGCCATCCTGTCCAACAGCTTTAAGGGTGAATAGTTGTAATCACAGGGCTTACTGAAAAATCTGCCCTCCTTTGCAGTTTCTTTCCTCGTCTTTTGTGCGCACAACCACAACTTCACTCCCCGATCACTGGGCGTTCTCAACAGCTCTCAAATATATAGGCTGAAGAGAAACTCCATCTCAGGATAGCTGTTTGGAGCAGAGATGGTTGGCTCATCCGCACTTTGATCTTTACGGGCTGTCAGTGATTGGCTGGGGGAGGTCATATCATTGAGGTCCACAGGATGACAGCGTTTTGAATGAAGCAGTTTGGCCAACTTTATTGCATCAACCTGTAAACATTGACACTTAGATCAAAGCCACACCTGCAGAATCCATGGCACTGTATGATTGCCATAGTTGGTCCTGGAGAGTGCCTTGTGGCCTCTGATTTTGGCCCAGATTGTTTTCTGTGTTCTAAAAACGTTCACTTTTAGGAGTGCTGCCCTTTTTGGTTATCATAGAAGCTTGTTAGAATTATTTTAAATACTGACACCTTGTTCTGATTGGGCCTAATTTGCTAAGTTAGTTTATTTAGTTTAGGGTATTTTGAAGAAACCCAGAACCCTTTCATTCCCAATGTTATTTGGTTAACACTGTGTCAGAGAGGAAGAAGAACTTGTATAACCAGGGAGTCACTGGGTGGCTTGTGTCTTCAGATGAACATGAACACTGTTTATTATGTTTCAATCCCACATACACTGCACTGCTGCTATACTCACTAACTGTATGTTAATCCACTTCATGCAATTATTTTGATAAGAAAAAATATAGCACAATACAAGCCCTATATTGTAATAATTTTATTAGAATATATATAGAAGTAACTGCTGGCTATAACAATTCATCATCATGCAGGCATGATGGCAAAATAAAACTTGATTGCATGGTATTGATTGATTAATTAATTGATGCATGGTATTATGTATAAATTATGTTGTAGTATAATTTTTATTTCTGATTTCAGCACATTGACATGTATTAATTCATTGGTGTATATAAATAAAACTAATCATCATTATTAAACTAGAATATATTAGTAATGTAATATTGTTAAATGACTAATGGAAGTTAACCAATGTTATATGGCTAAAGTGGTAGTAGTGCATCTTTTACAGATAAAAGACATCCATATTTTGAATCTATAAAGCGTGTCTGTGGTGGTGATATCTTCACTCATGTGTGTTTTATGTATAGTTCCTCCACAGTTTACATCCATGGTCAATTATCTAAAAAAAAGAACAGAAAAGACATTTAAAAAAAAAACAAAAAACAAAAAAACACTAACACTTTTTAGAAAAAATGAATGAAATTTGAGAAATAATTTACATGCTTTTGTTGACACAGATCTTCAGTGGACAGGGGTTTGGGTGTTTTACGGCGGCACATTGCTGGGTCCCAAACCGGGGTCTCAAAACATCGCTGGCTGAATAGAAAAAAACGCACACATACACAGTGCCAACTGGCAATTAATCTTTTTGTCTCCAACAAACAAATAAATAAGGTTTTGGATACAGTATTTGTCTTCATGCACCTGGATGAGGCCGTTCTGCTCAAATGCTGTGGACATGAAGGTTGATCAGTTTGGACGCTGCTCGGCTGTTTTGGAGAGCTGAGAGGTAGCTGGTTGGTTTGGCTCCCCTTTCCTTGTTTGGAGTCAATGCCTGGAAGCTGAACCTAAAATATTTCATAACACACAACTCAGTTAATGAAACACATGAAGCGATTTACATCCAGACATGTAGTGCAGCAGTGTCATGCTAACAAATAACCGTATGCTAGTAATTAATGTATATTCACTATGACCTGTTGCTGTGGTGGCTTTAAAAATAAAAGTTAAAGAGTGTGTGGCACTTATGTGTAAGCTTCCATAGAGCTCTGTGGTCTTCTGTTTTGTTGTGGCTAGTTTGTGTTACTAACCAAATCTTGGATGCCTGGCTCCTCCTGCCAGCACAGCAAGTCTGTCTCTCTGTCCAGCAGTCTGGACCAGAGTTCACAGCAACCAGAGAAAAACAAACCCCACTCAGTTAAAAGAGCAGCTGAAAGACTCCTTCAGCATACTTCTGATCTCCTGTTCACGCTTTAGTTCTGAATGTTGTCACAAACAAAATTTGAACTCATAAAAAAGAGGCTAAATTTTCTAAGTCAGTGCATCATTTTCAGCCTGTTTGCTGAATTACCAACCTTTTGGAGAAAGCCATGTTGGTTAAACAGAGATTGTACATTTGTCTTAGCCGACTCAAGTAAATTTCTGCTTTCCTGCTCCTCTCAGGAATCTCAGGGATAATCTGGGTTGAGAAAACAGTAAACATGAGCATTTCCTTCTGTAACACTATATCTAAAGAGGCAAGATTAATGGCTGACCTACCAATTCAGGTATTTTGCTCTGGACGTTCCTCATAATGTTAGGCTGTAGGGTTGCAAAAGTGGGGATATTTATCTGTAGGTGGCACATATTACATATATTTAGCATTTCCTTGTCCATTAATCATTTTGCATTTTAAAAAGAAACATCCCCATCCTTGTATTCGAGCTGAGGTAACCGTGGTGTAAAAGTCAGAGGTGTCATAGCCAGTGTCATTTCCCACAGTCCCAGTGCTCCATTTGGCACCTTTCTCTCCTCCTCTGACGCCCCACCTAGCACTAACTATCACACTTGGTCACTTCCTGATATGGAACTGCAGCACTGGAATTAATGTTGTTGCTCCGTATGGTGCAATAGACCCAGCCCGTTCCCAGTCTCCTACTTTCAAATGATAAAATGCAGGTGCAGTTCACATTCAATGATTTTCCTACCTTCCAGCTGGCTATAATAGGTGCACATATGCAGGTCTCTATTACTGGATGTTCATAATGAAATATATAGAAGTCAAGTGACAACCTGTGTATTGTGAAAAACACGATACATTTAAAGCATTTTGGAAAACAGTTGGCAGTTATAAATTATATAAGATTTGTAGAAAAGGGGCTGATAGTTGTGGAAACACAGGTACTGTGCTGTACACTGATTTATTCTTATTTTCTTATAACATAAATATTAAACATGACAATATAATAAAGCAAACAATTAGCACAGTATTGAGCTACGTAACATGTCCCTGACACTGTTTTATAAGGTTCAAAAGGAAAGTAGTATTTGTTACAGAGCAACTTAGCTGTATCCCTCACTGTACTGTGTATGGTAATGTGGGGGTAAACAAGAAAGTAGAGCAGACTGGTGACTCAACGTAGATAAGAACTGATCATCTTGCTCTTCACAACGCTCTCAACTTTGAATTTAATCAGTGATTCAGGAAAACGAACCTATCACTCAGAAAATCAGAAACTAACAATGTCCTCTGACTTCTGTAGAGTTTCACACATGCTCTGTGTACTCTACTGTAGGTCCCCACTCAAAGCCTGAACCTCGGATTGACACCCTGAGGATGTCAACAAGCCTCTCCATCACCGGTAGCGCTGCGGTCAGTAATGCTCCTGCATGCCTGCTGGCTTTGGCCCGTCCCGTCTGACCACTGTCTGCCTTCCCCTGCTCTCCCTCCAGTTGGACTTGTCCTCTGTTTGCTCGGGCCCAATTTGACACAGAGGTGAGAGGAAAAATGAGTCCTGCGTGCTTGTCCATATATGCACATCTCAGCACCTGAGCATAACCTCACCTTTTTACCAGCCTCTCTCCTGCTCTCTGATATCACTGCAAAGAAACTGTGTGTATGTCTCCCTCACCTCTTGATATTAAATTCTGGCTTTTTTGAAAGCTCTCAAATTTCATAATTCAGTCAATAAACTTGAACAGGTTTTCTTTTGAGCCATTTTTCTTGATGAAAACTGCAATTATACTCAGATTTGTTTAATTAAAGTTTAAAAAAGATTTTATATTTTGGAAAATATGCCTGTTTACTTTCTTTCTGAAAAGATAGATACCACTCACATGTTTGTGCATAAATGATTAAATGTGTTTATTTGTGAACTTTAGAGGTGCTGGTAAGTTTATTTTATTGCCTTTAGAGAGGGCCAAGCTAGTTGTTTCCCCCTGCTTCCAGTCTTTATGCTAAGCTAAGCTGACTGACAAGCTGGTGGCAGCTTCATACCTACTGCACAGACATGACAGTGGTATCAATCATGTCATCTATCTTTGAAAGTTAGAAAGAAAAATGTAAATTATTCCTTTAATGCTCTGCTTGCTAAATGTAGTTTGTTACTTACACATGGCGAAAGAAAACCAAGGAACTGAATAAGAGTGAAAATGTAATATTTAGCCCACAGTAAAATCTTACTATAAGTGTATTCTATCAGTGTGGGGTTGTGTTGGTCTGAAGAGGCAGTAGTGATAACTGGTCCAGGTGTGTTTGCCTCTCACTGCCCTTGTTAATTGAGACTACTGCCCCTGTGGTTTTGACACTAACCTTGGGAAATAATCGCTCACTATCATCCTTTTCCCGACTGAAGATCAGCTCTGCCAAAATTTCTGCTGAATGAGACCCTTGCTCTAATAATCTACACACAGAGACACAAACAAACACACACATTAGAAGTGAGTCCATGTTCCAACTAAAGGAACATAAGACCATAGTCAAGAAATCATTCATTAACCAAACATTAATAAAACTGTGCCAATCCTTTGTACAACATTTGTACAAACATCGTTGTCAACTTCCTTGTTGGTGTGATGTATGACCTGTGCACCACATGTCAGGTTGTTAATATTGTATGCTCCTAATGGTGTGCTACTTCTCAAGAGTAGCTATAGTGTGGTGCAGCTCACACCCAAAAACACTGCACACTCGGGTGACAACACACTTTGTCTGAAGGGTGCAAACTAGCTTCAGGGAGGACTCCTGAGCAAGGCAGCGTTTACTCACAGGACAGTGCAGCAGCTAACAGATCTATACAAACCCCACAAGCTGCACAGGCTGCAGGTGGAGGCGTGAGGATGAGGACTTGTACGTTGATATGTACAGTGTTAGTGATGACATGTTCACAAGTGATGCTGTAGAAGGTTGAACATGAAGAATATTGCTTAGCTATCCCAGTCTTATGTACATTTTCCAATCATCATGATCTATTTATAACAACAGACATGATATCTTCTGGTCAGTTTTGTTGTACTGTTTTGCATATGTGTGAAATTCAACATGTTGAAGAGACCGTGACTAGGTGGCCACAGAGATAGCAAATTACTGCCTAAACTGTCTAATAAATCATATCAACTAATATTAAACATATAAATAGCAACAAAGCAGGATAAACTGATTCATTACTTCAAAACATAACCATGGACTTCATATTTTGGCTTCAGCTCTAATTGCTTTTATTTTGGGTATTTCTCATGGATGTGGGGAATGTGCTTATAGCGCTGTCTCGCCATGTTTGCCTGTGGAGCGGTGAGATTTCACACTGATGGAAGATTTGTCAGTGCAAGCCTTCACTCGCCTTCTTATCAAGCTCCTAATGTCCCCAAGACAATGTGCTGTTTCACAGTGGCAGCCTCGTACTAATATCATACATGCTCCTACTAAACAGAGTTCAGCTCTAATTAACAACAAGAGCGACAGCGGCCGACACTGTTCTGTTATACACTCACAGCATGTAAACACAAAGGAGGCTGAAAGCGATACGACTAGGTGAAAATATGTAAAGTGGATTTGAACAACACACTTTGGAGATGACTTTAAATTAAAAACTAAAAGCAGTAGTGTGAATTTGTTTTTGGAGCTTACATCACTTTAGTTAACTGCCAGCTGCTGTGTGTTAAGATATAAAGAAACAAGGCTGTTAGAAAAAAACAGAAGGTTTTTAGATTAAAAACTATACTATTAGTGTTCTAAATGCTTTTAAAAGCATTACAAGATTTTCAACTAGAAGAACCTAAATATGAAAAAGAAAGTCTGTGTGTATGTGCTGCTAAAACTGAGCAGTTCAAATAGTTGGAAGTTTAAGTGACAGTGCTGAAAGTAGTTGAAAACTGAAGTTCAAGCAGTGTAAGAAGTTGGTCACTGTTACAGTCGTTCAAAAATACTGTGAAGAAGATATCCTGAAAGCAGTTAGTGGTGGTTCAAGTGTATAAACTGAAAGAGGAGATGAGTTCAGCTGAAGTGTAAACCTTCAGTAGAGTTTCTTAAATCTAAAGAATACTGTACGTAGTTAATTTATTTTTGATAACAGGGATATTACAGGTATAACTGGAGATGAGTGGAACCACATTACAACTCAAAGGCTGGCATGCTCTAAGATCATCTCTGCCACTTTTGGTAAACAGAGCACTGTTTGCCTGGAAGCCCACAAAGCTTTAAAAGAGAAAACACTCTCCAAACAGTCCAACAACTGATTACACTGCTGGCATAAAGTGACACCACTGGCCCAATTGCTATATCTCTTTTGTAGTGGACATAATTATGACATTTTCCCCTGGATGATGTTTGTGAGAGTCAGAGCAGCTGTCTGAGGAGGTGAGTCTCCACAACAGAGGGGTCAGACTGTGTTTGGTCATCTCACTTCTACGTGAGTAATCAGCTCTCTCCCCTCCAGGAGGGTCCATGCTAAACAAGCCTTCAGTGGAGTCAGTGTTTGTTCTTGAAAGCAGTTCAAACACAGATCCAGAGTATTCACAGTTTTAGCTGTGTACCATTTCTCTGCCAGCCCACCACCAACAGTGGCTCTAGCTTTGAAACATAAAACCCCAGACATGCTGATTTATATTTATAGACCTACTTCATAAAGTAACCACTGAAATACTGTGTTTTGCAGGATGATACATATTGATCATGTTCAACTAAAAAATGTAGACTTATTGAAGCTTGTGTTGACGCAACCTGGAGTGTCGATTGTTATCCTCATGTCCCCTCTCTTCAGCAGTGCATGGATGTTTGTCTGATGTCTTGAGCTGCGATGTCAGATCAGCTGCGGGTCTGCTGTTGAGCACTGTTAACATTACATCAAAATACATACATAGTCACATCTACTGTTTTTCCATAATAGATCTAAGAAGACGGAAACCAGTACAAATTGTATGGGTCTATAACCTAACTCTTTTTCCTGATATCTTGCAGACTTCTTTTTAGCTGCGATGGTTGATGGTTATATTCGATGGACCTATAAAAGTCCTCCAAGTCATGGTGGGTTTTCAGGTGTCCACGCTCAGCTAACTGCTTCTGAAGGTCAAAGATCTCAGAGTAGAGATACAGTGGCACAATGCAGTTATTAATGTCATTATGAGGGATGAAACATGAAGGAACTGAAGTCAGGTGTCCCATTTTGGTGCATTTGTGCATTCAGTGTTGGGACCTACCAGGTAATAACTGGTTTTGGGTAGGGACTTCAGGTAGGAGTCATTGTGCTGCAGCTTGGAGAAGGCCAGCTTCTTTTTTTTCTGAGTAAAAGAGAAACAAGAAAGGGGCAGACAGAGAGTCAGAGAAGGACAGATACAGAGAGCCTCCCTTGTTCCAGAGGCTGGGAAACAGATCACACAGAACAAATGAGAAGCAAACATGCAGGCATAGGAAGCCATTAACTGCAACAGGGACCAATTAGGCCCCAGTAGGTGTTCTTGCCGTTGCCTGCTTTGGTCCTACCTCACCTCCATGTCTGTGACAGAGCCTCTGGATCTGAGCTGAGGAAACAACGGGTAGTTTCATTTGCTCAGCAATTTGAGGTAAAGGGCTCCTACTAAAGGGCCTCTAAAGTCCTTTATTGTGCTCTCTGCCCCCCCTAAAGCAGCTCAGCTTTTATAGGAGGGGAAGATAAGACAGGATCTCTCTCATGTTAGACCCCCTCTACACAGGTGCTCTCTGAAGCTTATTGCTCTTTTCACACCTAGTCAGAACAGAGACTAGACAGTCAAAACCAATGTCAATTACAGCAGTCCCAGTGGGAAGAGAATCACACAGAGAAGGGTTGAAAAATGCATGGTAGCAAAAAAAAAAAAGCCATAACAATTGAATTTACTGTTGAACACTACTTGTTGATATTCTAATACCACTATATTCATTACTTGTTTTACTTTGAAAAGCCATCCAGTTAAATTTTTACAACTGAATTCCCTGCTTTTACATTTCCAAATGGTATTTTCAAGTACTGTAATTTCAAAAATGTCACTTTCTATATTGAAAGGATGCACAAATTAGAAGGTTAGAGTCCAATGTTCATAACACTTCACTTAAACTGATCTAGTTTTCTGATGTTAAGGTTCTAATCAAGTGAAACTGGACTGGTGAAAATGAATACACAGTAAAGACTTCAAACTGAGGAGGAGGGCTGTTTTATTCTTGTTGCACTATAACATATTTGTTAATGATGGTATTCCTGTTTG